CCTTACTATTCCTCGAAATCCCAGAATATCCGGATATTCGTCGGAGACATATCCGGATATCAATATCCGGATATCCATATCCGAATATCCATATTCGGATATCAAAGACCCCATATTCGGATATCAATATCCAAGTATTTATCGACCCAATATCCGGATATTTCGCGACAGAATGCAGTCTCTGCATTTCGCGAAGATATCCACCAAAGGTCCAACTTTTACCAATTAAAAGCGTTCAAGACTCCATTTTTAGGTCTATACAGGTTCATACACATGTTAGTTACTTGCTTAACCCATTTACATGCAAAGACACCACCTTTAAATCATTTAAACTCATGATCAAGGTTAGGCAACTTACCAAAGCTTCAAACTCAGAAATGGAAGGCTCTTGGAGCTCACCAAATAGCTCCAAATATACTGACTTGCAAGGAGCACGAAAATGCCACACCAAAAGTTGGTTCTTGCACCAAAAGATGACTCCTTGGCACCACAAATGCCAAGCCAAAGGATCACACCCTCTCTAAACTCAAAGTCAACACCTATCCTCACCAAGGCAGTAGCAAGAACTCAGAAAAACAACCCCTTTTTACTTCCCAAGGCTAGAATGCACTCACCCATAGAGTTTTCATGAAGAACCCAAGAGGAAATGAGGTCTCTTGGTGTCTCAAATGGAAGGAGAAGGAGGTGGTAGGGTGGCTGGTGACACACCTTCAGCAAACTCACGTAGGAGAAATGTATGGCCTAGGGTTTTGGGCCATACTTTAGTATATATAGTCACTTAAACCATAAACGCACAATATTAACTTTAATTGCTACGCTTAGCATTTTAATCCCAAACTCAGGATTCCTAACCTACTCAATTTTACAAGAATTATCATATTTTTCTTATATTTTTCGGAGCACCTTTCCGGTACGCGCTTTTCATAGCCAGTACCAGTTTCTGGCACCAGTTCTCATTATTTTAACTTGAAACTCGTTTTACAAGTCCTACATATTATTCTAGTAATTATCATGCACTTATTATAATTTTCCGGGATACTTTTTCGGTACACATTTATACTGACTAGCAGAACCGGTATCTGCACTTTTCGTCAGAAAAGCGATTTTCAACATTATTACTCACTTACTATATTTATTAGAGCTTCATAATAATTATTAGGGTCAATTATGGAATTATCTCATTCAACTCATAATTAACTGATTAATTTCCTTAATTAACGGTGCGGGTTCTTACAACACACACTCCAAGCATTTTTCCATTAATTTCCAATACATCAACTCATCACACAACACCTCCAAACGCCATTTAACACCACACAACATCCATTAAACAATTTTTGCAAAATCAAGCCCAATATGACCCCAATAGGCCGAATCCATCATGCTCACAAACCAAAGGATATTCAATCCAATTTAATACTTCCACACACCTTACAATCCTATATTTAACTCATACAAACACTCCACAACCCAATTACACAATCATCCCACATAGTCATTTCATAAAGTGTTGAATCATCCATTCCAAAATTTTCCTAAGTTATCAATTAAATCATCAATAATTTTTATGACACCAATCACTTTAAAACATCATTCTAAGCCACATTTGTCTAATACACAATTTCAATTTAAGCTCTCTAACTACATCAATCACACAACACATGCTCTAGGGTTCATGAATTTGGATCCATCAATTCAACCAATAAAAAGTGTGAAAACTTACCCACAATCAAGGCCTAAGACTCCTCCACAACATACCAAAGCATTGGAGGATCAATCAACTCCAAGAACTCCAAAATTCCTCAAATGGTCGCTGCTGTAAATGTGTGATTTCTCCCAAATGAGCGAGTTTCAAGGGTTGGGAGTAGCATGGTTGCGTCCGGATGATGTTTTACTTCAAATTTCATGTAGTGGAACATTAATTTTGGTGGAGATTTGATGCAGTTTTGGTGAAATGAAGTTTTCAAAGCCATTTTTGCACAATAATAAAGGGGCTGCGGGTTTGGAGGAGAAGGAGGGAGGAAGGGGTGATGCAATAGTGATTTGGCCACGTGGAACAAGTCACTTAAGTGGGGTGGGTCCCACCGCCACCTCACGCGATTCAAACTAATTTAAATCTCCCGCTTAAACCACTAAACGTCCATCAACTCTTAGACTATTTAGAAACTCTATTTTTTAACATTAACCTTTGTCCTTTAATTACCCTTTATCAGATTAATCAGGAGTTTTTTGGTCGTTCGGAGAAATCGCAGTTTTAAACTGTTATGCGCGTTGTGGGCACGCTTCCCCAAACACACTAATTTTCATCAATTTTTACCAGAAATCATATTTCCTAGTCCTATGTACCATTTATAACTTATATCCAAACCTAGAGCTCAAAATTTATTCGGCACGTTTTACAGTGCAATTGTACCGCGATATTTTTTTTTTTTTTTTTTTTGATAACATGTACCGCGATATTTTTACCCAGTAAAAATACTATTTAACAAATTTTCAGAAACTTGCCCAACCACTCAATTTTTCGTTCTGAATCCATTTCCAGGGTTAGTTTTCCCATTTGAGACCTCCTACTCAATTTTACTTTCCTACGGTTACGTGTTTGACTAATTACCGTTTTACCCTTCCTTTGCATTTTGACCTTAATTTCAGAATTTTCACTAATCCTATCCTTTAATCCACATTTAATATATAATTACATGTTTTAGAATTGCGAGATGTTATACTGAGCTTTAGAGGTCCAAGCACACTGTAAACCTTTAAGAATAGCTCACAACTCGGCTACTAAAAGGGAGGAGATGCCAATTCTATAAGTTTTTTTTTATTATATCCGAAAACAAATAGAAAGAAACTTGTAAGTAAGATTACTTTACTTCTCTCTTTTTTGTTTTACCCTTTTCCAACTTGGCCCGTATTGATTCTCTTGTTTACCTGCATTTTCAAACTCTTCACAGCCCAAATAATATAAAATCCATCCATTTAAATTAGTAAAATTCATAGCTAATACCGCTCCCACTATCACTAATTAATAGTATTAACAATCACAAATATGTTTCTTGAGTTATCATCCGGAGTATTGTTTGTATATATTTTTAACCAAACTAACGTTAACATAAGCAACTTGATCAAAGATGCCAATGCCTTGCATATAATTTTGATTGTGCGGATGCACTTATGCAATTGTGCTTTATCAGCTGATTTACATTGACGATCTTATACTTATTTATACCCTTGAACTCGACCAACTACCTATTTAACCAACCAAGTTTAATACTATTTACCAATGGTATCAACCCCTCTCCCTTTTTTTCATTATTGGATTTTTCTCATTGGCCAGCCCTTGTTAAGCTATGTATATATGGGTCTTACAGTAGCATTGTTGTTATAATTTTGTCTTATTCAAAGAAGCCGAGGATTATTATTATAACTTTAGTAGCAACAATTACATACTTCCATACAGCAAGATTAATATAGTTTTATTGTGAGATTATCCTGCCATCGTCTTGTCATGTAATCAGTGGATTAATGGAATTATGCTCTTACGTGAGATAATCCAATTTATTCATAAAAAAGTGTAAAGACATGAAGTATAGTGCTTGTTTCAAATGTCAACGCTATGCTTTGGGATTTTGGCGTAGCAGATGCTTATGAATATAGTTCTAAGCTGTAAAATCAAGGGACGCTGGCATATTAGTAGGATCTACTAATATATAGTTATCTTGCATTCTTGTTGGTATGTGTAAATTTGGGTGTAGTCGTTTTGAAATGACGCGTAACTACTATAAGAGCATTAATAAAGATAGAATGTAAAAACCGTCATAGTTTAGACATGATCTTGACTTGAAAAAAGAAATTAATATAACTTTACAAATATATTATATATTAAAATGCAACCACACCAGATAGTTTGAAACACTGATTTTGCAAGTCATTACTTCACACAAATGATCTGCCATGCCTTATATTTAAACTTCGAGCAACCCATGATGCTTTCATCCTAGATCAGAAGTGCGTCGCTGATCTGCAACAAACTGCAAATTTTATGGTACAATTAAGACTACAGACATTGGTGACGATGGAGAAAAAAATTGAAAACATAATTTTAGTGATCAACTAAATCAAACTGAAAATGTAGCAAACAATGGAGTACTAAAAAGTATATATAAGCACATTTTAAAAGGTCATCTGAAAACTAGATATCTTCGCTAACTTAAACACAAACTCTAATTTCTTTACAACAAAAAAATAATAATTTCTTGGAGAAGTAAGAGGCGTGAACAAAAGAACAAGGAGAATCATATGTACTCAAATATCACTATTAAACCTAGCTTAAGTGACTCGATAGGGTGGAGGAATTAATGAAAGCCAATATGTATGTGGCAGAGAGAGAGAGATGTGAGAGATATACTCTAATTAAAGCAATACTTGTAGAAGTTAGCACAATTATCAGTATCGTACGATATACGATACGATTCGTCCCATACGATATGATTTACAAGCACATCAATATATATCATGAGGTGTATCAGAAAAGGTTTTGTATCGTATGATACAACACTATATCGTACGATACGATATGTATCATGTTTCATACGATACAAAAATTAAATCAAAATTTGTAATTTTTAATATAAAAAAAGAAATAAAAATTTGATTTATGATTTAAATTAAAAAAAATCTAAAAAATTATTATTAATAAAGAAAAAAAATAAAGATTTGATTTGTGATTTAAACTCAAAAATAAATCTGAAAAATCTTATTAATAAAGAAAATAATTAAATAAATATTTTAATACATTTTTTAAAAAAAATTTGGATTAGCTATGATGATGATTTAAATAAGTGATTCTAACATTTAAATTCATGCATTATGAGCATTAATTAAAAAAAAAATCGTATTTCTCCCTTTTGCTTATAAGAAGTAATTATTGATTTATGTGACTACAACAGACAAAAATAACCAAGACATTAAAAAAAAAAAAAGTTATTAAAATTAAGTACCTGCTAGCCTTTGAGCCACCTGCGGCATCTTGCCATATTCACTGCTACCATTACATATATATAATCTGTCAATCTATTCAAGAACCTTGTGTAAGTATTTCTCCAAGGTCGCCAAAGTAGTATTGGCCCTAATAAGCTCCAAAAACCAGTGAAGAATCCTATCCCCATGCTCATATATAATGCTTCATAGAAAGCTAAATTGTCATCATTACCATGGATTGCGAATCCTTGAGGTTTTCCCTTTGTCTCATCTTCGGGACATGTTTTGTTAAGTTGCTCACCACACAAATCCATATTTCCTTCAAAACTAGAGGCACCAAAAGTTTGCAAGTGTCTTCCAAAAGGGATTCTTCCACAGAGAGAGTTGTTTGATAAATCCAACACACCAAGATCATCAATTTTGGAAAGAGTGGCTGGAATTTTTCCAGAAAAATGATTTCTTGATAAGTCCAGAAATTCCAAAAAACTTAAATTTCCAATCCCAAAAGGGATTTCTCCACTCAAATTGTTTCTTGATAAATTCAAAGAAACTAAGCCAAGCAAATTTCCAACCTCTTTTGGTATTTCACCATTTAAATTATTACTTGAGAGGTCAATGCTCTTAAGACTCATCTCTGGATCCTTGAACCCATGTTCCACTCCTTTCCACATCAACGTTATGTTAAACTCATACTCACCAAAACTGAAAGTACCATAAGTTGCATAGTAAGTGATATTGTACCAATATATATGACTTCGAGTTTCAGTTGAGTTGATGCTCTTTTCAGACATTGCAGTAAAATTGTTTATGCATGTTGGAATTCCTTCTGATAAGTTATTCCTTGAAAGATCCAACAGTTGAATACGCCTTAAATAACATAGATGAATAGGTAGATTTCCAGAGAAGCCATTACCTCGCATGCTCAAGATGATCAATTGCTGCATATTTTCTCCTATCCATGATGGTATTGGACCTGAGAACAAATTTTCACCCACATCCAACATAATTAAATTACTGCAATTCTTCAAAGTGAAAGGTAGTTCACCCATTAAACTGTTGTTTCGTAAAGCCAAAGCTTCCAATTTATCAAGTGTGCCCATAGACGGTGGAATCCTCCCTGACAAGTTATTATTGCTTAAATCAAGAAACAATAATGAGTTTACAGATTTCCAACAATCTGGCAGTTGTCCCTTTAGTTTATTGATTGATAAATCTAAAGTGGCCAAGTTTGCATTTTCACTTTTGTCACACAAGAATGAAAATAAATCTGAAAACTTATTTTGGGAAAGCATAAGGTCTGAAGCTTGTAGCAGAAAAGACGGAACTGCACCCCCAAATTGGTTTGAATTCAAAAGTATAGACGGTTTGAGAGGAAGCTTGAATGGTAAATTGGGAATTTCACCCATGAGATTGTTATGAGACATATTCATCAATTCAATATATTGTGAATTGTTCCAAAGCTAAGGAACTCTGAGTTTGGAACCAACTAGGAAAACTCGGACCCAACTTGCAAGATGCTAGTCCCAAGTATCTTAACTGGAAAGGAGGAACCCAGGTAGACTCAAATTTTAGAGACAGTGAGTTGTATGATAAGTCTAAGCTCGTCAACTTAGACAAATTAGAGAGATGCGATTCAGTGACGTCACCCTCCAAAGAATTCCCCTCCAAGTACAGATCTTCCAACTCAGAAAGTAATCCGATGCTTTTAGGGATCATGCCAGTAATTCGGTTATAAGATAAATCCAAGCTCTGCAATATGTGTCTATTGCACCATGAAGAATGCTGAATGAAGCTGGAAAGATCCCCACTCAAGTTGTTATTTAAGAGGTCTAATGTCTGTAAGCTGCACATATTCCCAAAGAAAGTTGGAATCTCTCCTTGCAGTTTGTTAGAGTACAGATTAAGATTTTCAAGAGATTTCATCACTTTCCCAAATCCATCTGGAAGGGGACCTTCTAACAAGTTCCCATAAAGGGAAAGTGTATGAAGATTGGTGGTGAAGTTAAAAAGCCAATGGAATACAGCTGATGATGTCAGCAAGTTGTGAGAAAGATCAAGGGAGACAAGAGAAGATGAAAAGTTCATATTAAAGGCAGGTGGTACAAGAAAATTTCTATCCAAAAGACTACAGTTTCTTAGAGAAAGCCGTTGAAGTTTGGAGCTGAAGTTGAAATCATCTTGAAGCATTGATGATGTCAGATTATTATAAGAGGGGTCAAGGATCACGAGAGAAGGGAAGTTTGGATAGAGAGGAGCTGATGAAACAAAATTATTATGAGAAAGATAAAGCTCCTTAAGATTAAGGCTAATGTTTGACAGCAATTGAAATGTTGATGATGTCAGCATGTTACGAGAGAGATCAAGGATGGTAAGAGAAGTGGAAAAGTTGGAATGAAAACGAAACAGATATGGAATATCATAATCTGAAAGACTACAATCAACTAACCTCAACTCTCTTAAGTTTGGAATAAGCTTACTGATGGTTTGAAGCAAGTGATGAGAAGAGCCAAGATTATGTAATGAACTGAACTGAAGAATTGTTAAGGAATGGAGATTAGACAACCACTCTGCATCCTTAGTTTTGACATCAAAATCTCCCTGGAGCCTAAGAGTATTCAACATAGGAAGATTCCCAATCTGAAAAGGGATTGCTCCAGAAAATGAATTTCCTCCAAGATCAAAATATTGAAGTTCTGAGAGATTCCCAATTTGACAAGGAATAGCTCCAGAAAGTGCATTTCCTCCAAGATCAAGATAACGTAGTTGTCTGAGATTCCCAATCTGCAGCAAAGGTATTACTCCAGAAAGATAATAATTTCGTCCAAGATCAAGATATTGAAGTTGTGAGAGATTTCCAAGCTGATAAGAAATCCTCCCACCAAACTCACTATAGGAGAGATTGAGATATCTTAACTTGGCGAAGGAGCCCATGAGTTCTGGGATGTGACTCTGAAAAAAATCACTATAGCTGAGGTCCAAATATTCCAAATAGTGCAAGTCAATCAATGGAGTGATATTGACTACACCTCTCAAATATTGTGTATCGTGACCACGAAGATCAAGCATAAGTACATGACCTGTTGTTGGGTAGTAATTTTTCGAAAGAAAAAGAGTTATCGTTCTCAGGGAACAGGTTGTTTAGTTTTCCTTTTTAATTCCAATTTCTAATTTCTTGAAATTAAGTAATCAATCTTTTAAAACTAAGAAAATTCTAAATGAAACGAGGTGTTTATCAGACTTGCATTAAACAAAATTTAACAGAGGAATATCTATTCACAAATGTATCAATTATAAGGTTCTGGAATTCTTTGAATCATGGATGAAGGAGAAATTTCGCATTCCTGCGTTTTATAACTGCTACGGCACTTTAGTATCAGAATTCAAATTACTATGGCTATTTTATCTAAAACTTCCCAGTTCCAGATTTTAATCTTTAGAAGGATCTTTTCCCAAAGTCTTCTAAATCTTCAAAAATTGTATCAAAGACCTCCTTGGGTTATCCCTAACCTCAAGGGTTCAATTAACAAGGGACATAACCTGATTTCCCAATCGTAGCTATGCTAAAATTATTCAAGACCCATTCCCATGGTGTTCTTGAACTTAAAATCAAAATCTTGCTAATCAAATGAAACTAAAGCAAATCATCACAGTATTCAGAAAATTAAAGATCACCCAATCATCGTGAATCCCAGAAAAAGAAACTTAAAATATCATATTCAGAAATATTGCAAATCTAAAAAGTAAAGAAACATGCATTACAAAATATTCAGTAAAGAAAACTCAAAGTAAAAGTTTACAAACCGGTTCTTCAAGAGTCAAAGTTCCTAAACTAGAGCTAGGAAGAAAACTTGCAGTAGTATGAAAACAATAGCTCGCATGCAGATCCGTGATTCCTTTCCTTGAAGGTGCGTTGTCAATGCACTTCGAGTACAAGAATTGAAGAACAAGCATTCAGCTTTCAAGGAATTTCTCAACACTCAGATTCAAAGAAAAAGATTACAAAAGATTCAAAACATAAAACTGAAAACTAAAAAAAAACGAAAGTTCTCTATATGTGGCCCTAATGACTCAGACTCCTATTTAGCTAGAAACTAAAGAGCTCCAAGAAATTGCATTGCTGTCCATCCATATTTTTGTCCATCCAATGGTTCAGATTTGATCTCACTTTCAAAGAGTTGATCATATGGCTCTCTAACTGCAGTAAAAATAGTAAAAGAGAATAGTAAATTATCAAATTATCTCTTTCTCTCTCTTTTACCTTATTGGGCTGATTGGTACTCATTTGGCCCATTACCATGCACTTATATCCAGCCTTCAACTCAAATATTGTAAAAATAAAGCCATTAAAATAATCATAATTTATAGCTAACAAAATACCCCAAACTTAGTTAATTGCTTGCCCTAAAGTAATCAGACAAACTTCACTCATAACTTAGCCTGTTAGCTAAAAGAAGTAAATAGTTACATATCAACACAAATTTAATTTCAATAACTCAGTTAAATTAATCAACCATATGTGCAAAACATCACACTTCTTAAAGCATTAACCAGGCTTAATGTCAACCAATTCCTACAACAAATTAATCATCCAACTCCAGTCAATCAACAATTACATAAGCATTTAATCAAAAA